TTATAATGAGTAAGATATAGGTGAAAAATTAAAAAAATATCATGGAATACGAACAAAAATAAAATACATGAAATTAGAAAAACGATAGAATATTATTATATTAAAATAAAATTATTAATATTAATATTAAAATTAAAATATTAAAATAAAATTAAAATTATTAATTTTAAAATATTAAAGATTAGTGTTAAGTGTAATAAATAAATGTAGATTAAAACAAATACACAATTTATTTAATTCAAATATTTCCTTGATATTAAAAAAAAGATGAAAGTTGACAAGACTTATTTCTTCATATACGTTATAAAATCTTAAGAAAAAATAAAGATAGTTTAATATAAAATATATAACAAAGAACGAGAATGAATGAAACCGTACATGATTATAGGATGAAACCTATAATGAATAAGATATAGGTGAAAAAGTAAAAAAGTGTCATGGAAGACGAACGAATGAAAATTGTACTTGAAGTTAGAAAAACAATAGAATATAATATTATTATATTAAGACAAAAATATTAAAAGAACATTGGTGTTTAGTGTAATAAATAAATTTCAATTAAAATAAATATATAATTTACTTAATTCAAATTTTTCCTTGCTCTTGTAAAAAAAATTAACGAAAATTGACAAGACCTATTTCTTTATGAACATTATAAAATCTTAAGAAAAAATAAAGATGATTAAATATGTAATACAGAACAAGAATGTATGAAATCATATATAATTATAAGAAGAAATATATAATAAATAAAATATAAATAAAAAAGTGAGTAATTGTTATGGAGAACGAATGAAAAATGCATGTGAAATTAAAAAAACAATAGGATTCGATATTATTATATTAAAATAAAACTACTATTAGTATTAAAATAAAGTTAATGTTATATGCAATATATAAACATATATTAAAATAAATATTATTTAAAATTAATTTAATTTTGTAATTAAATTATTTCCTTACTATTGTAAAAAAAAACGAAAATTGACAAGATTTGTTTCTTCATGTTAGAAAATCATCAAAATAAAAGATCGTTAAATATAAAACAAAAAATGCATGAGACCATACATGATTATACGAAGAAACCTAGAATGAGTAAGATATAGATGAAAAATTAAATAAGTGTTACGGAAGACGTGCAAAAAGGACGTGTGGAATAGAGACAATACAATACAATATTATTATATTAAAATAAAATTATTAGTATTAAAATAAAATTAGTGTTAAGTGCAATAAATAAATAAAAATTAAAATAAAT